CCCCAAAACCCCAAAACCCCAAAACCCCAAAACCCCTCAATAATCACAATAAATTGAAAATAGAAAGTTATAGAAATGATTAAAGGACTCCAAGAAATGAACTCGAGTAATGATTATGGAATAGAGATGAGCCTTGATAATGTCTTGAGTTCATCTCAAGAACTAACAACAGCTTCTCCTCAACTTAAATAAATTCAGGATTAATGATAATATTGTAAAAATATAAAACCTGAGAAAAACAATTATAGCCAAGAAGCTGCTTCAGAGCATTTAGATGAAATCTATGAACAGATTGGCCAACTTCGGCATGAGAACATGAGCATGTTGGCAGAACTTATGGAGAGGGAAGATGAACAAGACGAGGTATTCGAACTTAAGAATTTGATACAAAATCAAATAGAGAAGAATGCTGCGCTGCTTTCAAAGACTAAAACAATACCAACCTCAATTTTGAACAAAAGAAAAAGCTCAAGTCCGAAGAAGAAAGTCAGATTTAGTTCGAACTTATGCGATTTTAGTAAATACGAGAAAGAGCTAATGAAAGTTCAATCAAAGTTTAAATAAACTGCAGGATTCTGTCAGGAGATCACTTGACATTGATAAAAATTCGAAAATTATATCATTTTATAAAAGTGAATCAAATACTATCTCTGCTAAAAATAATAGCAACCAAAATGACCCTGAAAAAATGACAAAGTCTGAGTAATAATGCCATTTTTACAATTATAGTCAAGAAAGACAGAGAAAGGAGGCCAGATTGGATAAGATTTGAGAAGATTTGGAAAAGAAAATTCATAATCTAAAATAAATCACTTTGTAAGGTTTTTACAGTAACAAATTAGCTGAGAAAAATCAGGCAATTAAGCATAAAACTCTCATTCTCAATGGGTTTAAAAAGAAATTACAGTTTGCTAAGAAGAAGAAATTGAGGTTTGAAGTAAACAAAGGAAAGTATGTAGAGGAACAGAAAATGAAGGAAAGAGCAGAAAAGCTGTTATTAAAATAAACAGATATCTCAGAGGTTTTCCATCATAAACTCTCCGAAAAAGACCAAAAATGTTGTGCATATTCGAAGCAGCAAGGGTAGCCAAGACTTTGAAAGAGCATCTGAGGATTCTGAGACCATATCACAAGGGTTTAATATCTATAAACCAAGTTTCAAATGATTACGAGGCATCAGCAAAGAGAAATTAAGGTAGAGTATATTAATAATTCTATAGCTTCTCAGACAGATTTAGAAATAGTCTAGACTCTAAAGCTCTTATCACTAATGATATTTCAAAGAATGAGGATAAGAATAGATCATTTACTCTCAACAGCGGTCATTATGATAAGATAAAAGTAAGCTTGCAAACTTAATCAAACTTTGTAATAACTTCACCTCAAAATTAACAAATTGTTGGGCTAAGTTCTAAGCCAGATTTTTAGAACAAGGCTGGCTCATATAATTTATAGATAATCAATAAATTTCAGAACGATCAATTTACTGATGATAAAATAAGGTAATAGCTTAAGAATGACTGATAGACTGAGAGAAAGATCATTAACTAGTTCTCAAGCCCACAACCCTCATAAAGTAATATTGCTATCTGATTTATAGAAAATCCAAAGGAGAATATCCTCCATGATGAGCGGGTACGTAAATAACTAGATTTTAAAGACATCAAGCATTTTGTCTCTGATATATTATGAATTTACGTTTCTCCATCTTCAACTTTTATATGAAGAAAAGGGGTTTTGGGGTTTTGGGGTTTTGGGGTTTTGGGGTTTTGGGG